CTTCGCCGTTCGCAGCCCCTAGCGACGGCGAGGTCTCACCTGATCTGAATAGGACGTCACTCTGCTGGACCTCCCAGGAACACGCAAACGTTGCGACATTCGAAGTTCGCACCCCCCCCCCCCCCCCCAAAGATGGCGAGGTCTGATCTGATCTGACTAGGGCGTCACTCCGCTTGACCTCCAGGAAGCCCGCGAACGTGGCGACGGCTTCGCGGTTCGCGTCCAGGGACACACAAAAATGGCGCCAGTTTCGCAGTTGGCAACCCCCAGCGATAACGAGGTCTAAACTAAGTCTGCGGTGACGCTCGCAGCCTCCATGGCGACGTCTAATCTGAGTCTGCGTGTGACGTCACTCCGTTGGACACCCCGCCGGCCTTCGAACGTGGAGACAGCTTCGCAGTTCGAACCCCTGCCTCCCCCCTCGGATGATGGCGAGGTCCAATCTGAGTGTGCGTATGACTTCGCTCGGTTGGACCACCCAGCAGCCGTCCAAAGTGACGGCAGCTTCGCAGATCGCAACACCCCGCAAAGATGGCGAGGCCTAACCTGAGTCTGCGTATGACTTCACTCCGCTGGACTCCTCAGGAGCCCTCGAAAGTAGCGACTGCTTCCTTCGCAGACCCTCCCCAGCACCAGTGATGGCGGGGTCTAATATGAGTCTGCGTATGACGTCACTCCGCTGGACCCTGCAGCAGCCCTCCAACGTGACGACAGCCTCGCAATTCGCAGCCCCCCCCACCCACCCACCCGCCCCCCAAGGATGGTGTGAAGATTTCCAGGCGCGCCTCAACCCGCCTATCCCTTTCCTCTTTTGCTCTCCCTCTGCCCCTCTCCCGTGCTCCCGCAACCACCGTGGGCCCAAGCCTGGGGCCCCAGGTTTTACTGCTTCTCGGGCGGCCCGCGCCCGAGATCCGTGGAGCCTGTGCTGGCGCGCTGGCTGGTGCAAAAGGGGCTGCGCTCACACTGATAGCAGCAGGGCAGCAGATCGGTGTTCAAACTGGTCGCGGAGCAGGTTTCGATCTACGGCGGAGAGAATGGCCCGCTCGACAGACGAGTCCGCAGAGGAGCTCTTTGTCGACAAGGAGGGCATCCCGCACTGGGACGGCGAGAACATAGCTCTTCTACGAGAATACCGCATGAGGGTGATGATTGAGTACAGCACCCAGTCTAGCTCGACAGAGGCTGGCAAGGAGAAGAGGGCGAACTTGGGCTTGCGCTTGACGCGAGGCCTCACTGGCCGCGCGTGGAAGGCGGTGGAGCCCCTGCTGGACGACATGGCGTCGCTCACCCAGGATGGCTCGCACCAGAAGATCATCGAGGCTCTATGGCTTAGACAAGGTAGCGGTAGTGCGCAAGCAGCAGAAGTTCGACGATTTCTTCAAGAGGTCCCGCCGTCGTCGTGGCCAGGAGATCGTCGAGTATCTGAGGACGTTCCACAACAAGTACAAGGAGCTGACGGAGCTGGACACCGGGACGAAGCTCAGCGACGACCTCTACGCGTACTTCCTCCTCGAGGGGGCTATGCTGACGGACGACCAGAAGAGGCTGGTCACGATGGTGGCGGACAATAAGTACGAGACAAAGGCCTTCGAGAACACACTGAAGACGAACTACCACGACCTCCACCTGCAGGAAAGACCTCCCGGCCGCCACAGCCTCATCTTCACGTACGCTCGAAGGGCGGAGGCAAAGGCGGCAAGGACAAGTCCAAGAAGCAGACGAGGGTGTACTACACCGAGGCGGACGACGTGGACGACGAGGAGGACGAGCAGGACGAGGACTACGATGACGAGGTCTACGAGGCCTACGAGGATGGCGAGGCCGAGGAGGACATCGCCAGTGACGCCGGGGCGAGTCAGGACGAGGCCATCAACAACGCGTACGCCGCATACGACACCGCCCGGGCCAAGGTCCGGGACCTCCAGAGGAAGCGCGGCTTCTTCAAGGCGGAGGGCACGCTGACGTTCGAGGAGCGCAAGGCGGAGATCGCGAAGGACAAGCAGCGCACGCACTGCGGGGCGTGCGGCAAGATCGGCCACTGGGCCGGGGACCCAGAGTGCCCCATGGGTCCGAAGAGGCCGAAGCCGTCGGCGAAGCCTAAGAGTCGAGCTGACCCACGTGGTCGAGCAGCGGCGTTGGCTCGCCCGGCCTGGAGCAGTCCTTCGGCCTCGGGCAGCAGCCCACGTCCAACGAGCAGTACCAGTGCCAAGAAGCGGAGAGATGCGACACCCTTCGTGCTGGACGATGTCGAGTACGACTCGGCCTTCTTCGTCAGCTCGGACCGTGGCTCCGACATCGGCTCCTTCAAGCTCGTGGGCAGCGACATCGGCGACAGTGCGAGTGTGGTCAGCGACAGCCTCAGCACGACTCTCCCGACGATGAAGGACGACGAGGTGTTGCCATGCCCGAAGTGCTCCAAGGCTCTGGTAGCTCGCCAGAATCATCGGACGGGCGGCTGGTTCTTCGGGTGCAGCCAGTTCCCGAACTGCAAGGGCACGCTGAACTACAACGAGGGCGAGCAGAGGCTGCGCGAGGCGCGGCCACCGCCGTCTTCGGCCTGAGCACACTCCACACCGGGGCCCAGAGGGGCCCCTCACGGGCGCCACGAGCGCCCAGTACCCGGGGAAGGAGTTCTGGAGATAGTGCTTATGGTGAGTGAAGACAGTGACACGTCTGACGTACCAGTGGCGCTCATCGACACCGGTTGCACAAGATGCATGCACGGCAAACGCTGGCGGGAGCTGTTCGAGAAGAGGTGCCTGCATCCCCGTGGCCTCGAGATCAAGATGACGGACCGCGTGAGGAGCTTCTCCTCGGCCTTCGGCAAGAAGCAGGAGGGGCGCGTGGTCGAGATCCCGGTCGCCCTTGGCGGCCGCCGCGGGGTGATTTTCAGCACGGAGATGGACGACTGCGACACCCCGCTCCTGGTCAGCCTGGCGTCGCAGGAGGCGCTGGGTGCCGTGCTCCACCTGAGGGAGATGCGGATGGAGCTGCAGACGCTCGCCGTGGACGTGCAGCTGATCAAGGTGGGCGGTCACTTGGCAGTGCGACTTGACGACTGGGGAGACGATGATGGTCACCGATCGGCAGCAGCTTCGAGTTCGAGATCAGCGACGGCGATCTCGACGAATAAGGACTCGGAGTTCTTCTGCGCGCAGTCACGGAAGGAGTCGGCCTTCGAGGAGTCCGCGATCCGAGTCGAGGAGGAGGTTGGCCACGCCTTCCCGTCGAAGGATCGCGGTGTGCTGGCCACCGACGCGACGGGGATCCTCTCCAAGACGACTCGGAAGAAGCTCGAGTCCGCCTGGCGTGGGCTTCGTGGAGAGGATCGTCGACTGCGGGAAGAGCTGCCTCGACCGAGGTTCGAGGCGGAGCGTTTCGTGACTGCCGACTTCCAGACCACGGTGGTGTTCGAGCCGTTCGGTGGGGAGCACATCCTGACGCGCTACGGTGCGAAGGAGTACGGATGGATGCAGTCTCAGCCGTTGGATGTGGACCACTCTCCCGACTACGATTTGCTCAA